ATACTATGAGTTAATATTTCTAATATATAAGAAATCATATAATTTATTAGAAATAACTGAAGATGTGTATTTTCAAAAGAAAAAATATATATATTTCAAATCTGATAAGCAAAAGTTGATTGCTTGCTGGGGAAAAACCTGATTAATAAAGGAAGTCATGTGTATGTGTGTATATTTAAAAAATATACACATAAAAACCCAACTCAGAATGCAATAGAGATTTAAATTTATGACAAATGCCCCAAATTTACATTTAAAAACCTCAAAATTTAATGGAATCTAAGCCACTGGGGAGACCGTCAATAATTCTTCTAATAATATGTCCTCTTCACTCATTACTGTTTGCTGAGATTTGGGTTGAGCAGTATAACAGGGCTGACATGAAAATTAATAATTTTATCCATACCTTGATTAACATTTTATCACTTTGTGAGTTTAGTTTTGAACATAAATAAGGATGACTTTCCACTAGGAGAACAGAATTTAAATGGTATCAGTAAAACTAAACAAAATGAAACAATTTCTCTTTGTTTCTGGTTCCCTCAACAGTCATTTGTCAGAATATTCATTTTAAAAAATATTATTCAAAGATATGCAGTATTTCTACAATGATCTGATAAGGACTCCAGCTTACACAACATCCGTTTTAAGAAGAGCATCTGAGGGGCGCCTGGGTGGCTCAGCCGTTAAGCGTCTGCCTGCGGCTCAGGTCATGCTTTCAGGGTCCCGGGATCGAGCCCCGCATCGAGCCCCGCATCGAGCCCCGCATCGAGCCCCGCATCGAGCCCCGCATCGAGCTCCCTGCTCAGCAGGGAGCCTGCTTTTCCCCCTCCCACTCCCCCTGCTGGTGTTCCCTCTCTCACTGTGTCTCTCTCTGTCAAATAAATAAAATCTTAAAAAAAAAAAAACACCTGATTTTGCTTTCAGCTAGCTCTTTCAAAAGCTTTCTTCTTTGCTTAGTGCCAAGTATACTTTATATATTAACTGAGTTAGGTCCATCTGTACATATTCATTCACATACATTTGGATGTGCTGAATTCTAAATTAAAAAAAAATCTATGTTTAGAATGAAGACTATCTATAATAATAAATATGCAAAACAAACAAAACTGTTAAGAGCACAGAGCCTAATTTGGGCTCTATAAAACAAAGGTAAATGGTAAGTTAACTTTATCTAACTCCCATGAAAGAAAAATGTCAGAGTTTTATTTGTTCCAGTGATGTTTCTAGTAAAATAGTATTTAAAACTAATAATATCTTAGCAAATATAATATCCTTCCAAAGAACAATGGATCAAAACATCAGGATGGTTCCTTAGGAAATTCCCATTACCAGTTATTCATACTGTTTTTCCTTAAAGGTTCAACTCCAAGCCAAACCGATTCTCTTTGCAAGAGTACAGCTAAATCACAGTTTATGGCTGTGTTCATTATGTGCCGTACTTGGCCATACCTGCTTTATAAAAAGCGCAATTTCAAAAAAAAAATGCAATTTCATTAAGAGAAGAAAAAAAACCTAAGAGAATGTAATCTATACAAAAATGAAGAGTTTAAAATATTTCTTTTTCAAATAATTGGCTGAATTTCTTTTCCAAAACAATTATATAATAAGATACTCATATTTTGTTTTGTAAAGAACCTTGAGGGACACCTGGGTGGCTCAGTCAGTTAAGCATCTGTCTTTGGCTCAGGTCGTGATCCCAGGGTCCTGGGATCGAGTCCCATATCGGGCTCCTTGCTCGGTGGAGATCCTGCTTCTCCCTCTCCTTCTACCCCTCCCCCCCACTCATATGCCCTCTCTCTCTCTCAAATAAATAAATAAAATCTTAAAAAAAAAAAAAAAAAGAAACAAAAGGGGCACCTGGGTGGCTCAGTTGTTGGACATCCACCTCTGGCTCAGGTCATGATCCCAGGGTCCTGGGATTGAGTCCCACATTGGGCTCCCTGCTCCGCGGGAAGCCTGCTTCTCCCTCTCCCACTCCCCCTGCTTGTATTCCCTCTCTGGCTGTCCCTCTCTCTGTGTCAAATAAATAAATAAATAAATAAGAATGAACGAACGAAAGAAAAGAACCTCGATGTTTCATTCACTGTCCACTAGGCAGATGCAAGGAAATCGGGGGTAAGTTAGCGGAAGGGGTAATACAACAGTATTACTAAGCTGGGGTAAGTTAGTAGAGGGATGCTGGGGTAAGTTCATGGAAGGATGCGTGATACAACAGTCTCACTAAGCTGTTTTGGTATACTGGACTACTTTGCAAAATACAATTCTTAATTCTACCCTCAAATATAAAGTAAGTGAGAATGTAGAAAACTCTGTCAGGCTAAGTCTCCTATTTTATTTAAAAAAAAATGGGGGGGGGGAGACACACAAATAAACCAGATACAACTATTTACTTAAGTGAAAAGGTACCACTATTTATATCCTATAGGTACTAAGAGTCAGATTTCCTACCTAATACAAAGACTTTCACCAGCCTAATAAAAAAATGTGTCTAAATTATGCCAGGATTAGCCAAAGACCATATTGTCAAAAAGTTCAACATCAATAGTCACTAAGGTAATGGAAATCAAAACCACAATGAGGTATTACTTTATGAACCCAGGATAAATTATCATTTTTTTTTAATGGAAAACAACAAATTTGGTCAGCATGTTAAGAAACAGGAACGTTTTTACACTGCTGGTGATTTTAAAATAGTGGAACTACTGGGATGCCTGGGTGGCTCAGTTGGTTAAGCATCTGCCTTTGGCTCCTGGGATCGAGTCCCACATCGGGCTCCTTGCTCATCAGGGAGCCTGCTTCTCCCTCTGCCTGCTGCTTCCCCTGCTTGTACTCTCGCTCTTTCTCTCTCCCACACTCTCTCTCTGGCAAATAAATAAATAAATAAATAATCTTAAAAAAAAAATAGTGGAACTACTTTGGAAAACAGTTTGGCAGCTCCTCAAAAAGTTAAACACAGAATTATCATACACCTAGCAATTCCACTTCTAGGTTGTTGCCCAAGTGAAATGAAGTTATATGTCCATTCAAAAACTTGTATACAGTGTTATTGGCAGCATTACTCATGATAGCCAAAAAATTGAAACAACCTCAATGGTGAAAGGGAAAACAAACTACGGTATATCCATATAGTGCAATATTATTTGGCAATAAAAAGAAATCCTGATATATGCTACAATGTAAAAAAAAAATATGCTAAGTGCAAGAAGGTAGTCACAAAAGGCCACATGCTATGATTCCACTTACATGAAATGTGCAGGACAGGCAAATCCATAGAAACATAAAGTAGATCAGTGGTTGATGGGCTGGGAGGAAGAAAAAAGGGACTGCTGATGGGTATGGGTTTCTTTCTGGGGTGATAACAGTGTTTTGAATTAGATAGTGTGATGGTTGCACAACTCTGTAAATACACCAAAAACCACTGAACTGTATACTTTAAAAGAGTGTATCTTATGGTATGTGAATTATGTCTCAGTGAAGCTTTTATTTTAAAAAGAAAGAAAAATGAATAAACTGAAAAGCATAATTTTGAGTCAGGATATGAATATTTTCATTGTGTATCTTATTAATAATATCATGACTGTGTCAGTAAAATCATAAATTGGGTAAAGGCACAGGTACTGCAGGCTTCTAGGAAACTTTTCCCAAAATATATGACTTCCTTGAGAGGCATTAAAATGAAACAAACCAAAACATGCCACAAATTTCTGCTTTCTATATACTCTGTTCTGTATGTCTGTTCATCTTTGTCCACGTTTCTACTTCTGGCTTATTAGATTTGAATAATGAACCCAAATGCAAGACACCCCAAACCCTCTTTATATAGTAATAGCCTCAATGAAATAAATTCAATAAATACTGCAAGTTAGAATTACGAACATTAGAATGTCAAAATTAGATAGAGACCTCATACAATTATTTCCCTCTCGTCTCAGTCCATTCCAGTTAGGCCCATGTATTCCAGGAGTGCAAGTTATCGGACTCTCTTAAATTTTGAGATAAAAGATAAAATACTTTTTTTAGAATTATTTGTTGCTTTTAAAAATACTTGTTCTAAACTGCCACACCAACTAAAATGAATAGAAAGGCCAAGCTGGTTCAGACAAGCAAATGATAATGGAAAAGCACCAGTTCTATTGTCATTATATGCCTAACCCAACATCGTATCATTTTGGATTCAAACAGCAACCAAATACCTTGATACTGATAGGAGAGCGTAAAAAAATTTTTTTCAAAGATAACATTAATATACAAAAATTATTCAGCCTGCAGCGCCTGGGTGGCTCAGTTAAGTGTCCAACTCTTGATTTCGACTCAGGTCATGATCTCAGGGTTGTGAGATCAAGCCCTGCGTCACGATCTGTGCTTAGCATGGAGCTGGCTTGAGATTTTCGCTCTCCCTCTAGCTCTGCCCCTACCTCCACTCACTCACTTGCTCTCTCTAAAATAAATAAAAGCTAGGGCGCCTGGGTGGCTCAGTTGGTTAGGCGACTGCCTTCGGCTCAGGTCATGATTCTGGAGTCCCGGGATCGAGTCCCGCATCGGGCTCCCTGCTCAGCAGGGAGTCTGCTTCTCCCTCTGACCCTCTTTCCTCTTATGCTCGCTATCTCTCATTCTCTCTCTCTCAAATAAATAACTAAAATCTTTAAAAAAATAAAAAATAAAATAAAATAAATAAAATCTTTAAAAAATAATAAAAATAAAAATTATTCAGCTTAAGATCAGATACAAACCTCAAATCTAGCCATGCAATATCAACAGCACAATCCTACAGCTGTCCTCTCAGCCCTGAGGTACACGGACTGGACGGATGGCCTTAACTGAGATGAATTTCCTTCAGAGTATCACCTGGATAGAATATATTTCATTATTTCTATCTTTTTGAGAATAATAAAGGCCTGAATTCTAGCAAACTGAGCGAATGGTTTTGTAAGTGCTGACGGCGCAGAATTCTCGGACGTGCATGGATGAGGGACTCTCTGTCACCTCATGTGCCATACCTGGTATGCACTGTGCTGTGGCCTCAGTGGTTATGGTTGGAGCGACTGGGGCCTGCTGCTGACTGGAGCTCACTTCTGGCTCTGTGTTAACTGAGGGAGAAAGAGCTACCTCACAGGAGGAAACCTGGCTGGGCAGATGGGGCAGGAACTCTTCTGAAGCAACTTGGTCATCCTGTCCAGGCAGTTGCAGTGCAGACAAAGGGATGCTGATCTGTTTGTTAGGATGGGATGTGCTCACAGGCATCTGCATGGACACCTGCTGGTTGGTGCCATGGGCACCAGGGGGTCCTCTGTTTGGTGAAGCCAGAGATACCCTGGCAGTCTTCTGGACGACTGGTCTGGACATGACAGAGGGGGATGCAGATACACCATGTGGGTCTAGCTCTGTGCCAATGGCAGATGTCACATGGGGAATCAGCTTAGCAGACCCTATGCAGGAGGGACCAGCATGGGTTTGAGGCTTGGGTTTTGCCATCTGTGTCAATGACAGGGCTGGTCCATCTACCCCTCCAGTCAGCTCTGCATTCGCCACAATGTAATAATCTTCAGGAATCTCTTGTTTGATTTTCTTAATGATGACATCATTGCTGCATTCATCAACCATTTGAGCCTGGGAGCTGGAATGGAGAGAAGATGGGACTATTCCAGGCCTTTTTCGAGCAATGCTTTGAGGCCTTTGGGTTTGGGGTTCAAAGTCACTATCCTCGTCTGTAACAGAAGACTCACAAACCATGTCAAACAGGGTGTTTTCATCTTCATATTCTTCAACAGCTTCATCCAGTTCAGAGGGCTCACTGCAATAAGAGAAGTCACAAGAGTCTCTGGTCCGATTACAGTCTAGCTTCGCTTTCACTGGTCTCCCAGGGTACCTTTCAACGGGGCTAGTTTGTGTCTCAGAGGGTACTCCAATTATACTGGGACTATCAGAGTTAAAACTTCTGTTATCCTGGAAACAGACCCTTTCTTGGGACCCAGCTCTGCAAGTAGCTGTCAGTGGCCAGTGATAAGCATGGCCCGCACTACAGCCCCACATTGCTGTGAGGTTCCCATGGGAACCTTCCGAAAGCAAGTGTTTCAGGTTTGGAATGAGGCTGCAAATGGTCCCATGGCTGTGGGCCCAGCTGACCAATTTGGACAGATTCTCAGATGAAGTATGAAGGCAATCCTCCATGTTACAGGATCAGCAGTGTCTTTCCTAAAGGGAAATAATCAAAATAAGAAGCCATTATTACCCAAGATATTCCCATATCTCCATTACTTCAATTTCCTTGAACTATGATCATATGGCATAAAAAAGAATTGTACTTCAAAACTGTATTTAGTTAATATCGCTGCACATGGGCAGACTGGAAGAGAATACAAGTAAAAAAAAAAAAAGTGATGCCTATTGGCTGTGAGACGAGAAGATTTTTGATAGTTTCCTTGATTGTTACAACAATATCTGCATAAAAATATTTGCATGAGAAAAAAAGTGGGAAAGATAAAAAAACAATTAAGCAATAAAAAAGAGGTGAGCTTTTTCATGGTGTTTTACTTCCAAAGTCATAAAGAGAGGTTTAGTCAGCTCTTTAATAATAAAATGTGTGCATTATCTGTATTAACCAAGAGGATGCACTTCCAACTTTACCCTCTGCCATCAGAAACTTCATTACCAAAGGCAGAACCAACAAAGGCTTAGGTCCATTCTAGGATGAGTCACAAAAGAAAAGTCAATCCTCTGCCGGGCACCAGAAAACAAATGATGTAACTGAGAGTCCAAGGAGAGAATGAAGTGCTATAGTGGGGAAGAAAAAGTCTTTAGCAGGGAAGGGAGAAGGGACTGGGAGGAGAGCCACTAGAGGGCATCTGCTGGGGTCAGAAGCACAGGCAGTCTATAGGCCAGAAGCAAGGATGGGTGGGCCAGGTGCCAGGACTCTAACCAAATCTTAGGAGCTGGCTTTCTGCCTCCTTGCTGTCTGAAACTCCTGAAATACTGCCCTTCATCTCACAATTTGGAGGTAAAAGACGTGTCTGGTTTATTCCACCATCTAAGCTTCCTGGGCACCTAAGGATAACCAACTATCAAATAGGAGTAAACCATTCTTTATCGGGAGGAGGTCAAAAAGAATCACTTGTTATGGGCCCGTGGCTGGGTAACAGTGAGGACATGATGGGCAAGAAAAGTAAAATGGGACATGTGGAGTCTGCATGTAATTAGAAAGGTCAAGTAAGTTTCTGATAAAGGGGAGATCCTAGGGAGAACTGAGCAGGGGAGGGGCAGGCATCTTGATGTATGTATGTTGTCTGTCCCGTTTATCTGTAGCTGTGAGTGACAAGTGGTGCCTCACTGTAGGTGGGCTCTGCACTTAGGTGCCAAGGTCTAACTGCAATGTCAGGCGGCCATTCAAAAGGGGATATCTGAACCTCCGTGGCACCCCATCAATAGTTAGGTCAATTCAAACCCTTTCACATATTATGAGGCCTCTGTGATGTGGTCATGGCTACAGTCAACCCCTCAAGCCTCATTTCCTATTACTATGGGCTTTTCCCATCTTTCTCCTCTTCCTCTAAACAGTTTCTCACACCCACTGGGCCTCTAAAAACTCATTCTTCGGCTTGATATGCAGCCCTCTTCTTTCTTCATCTGGAAAACCCTTTCAAAACTGAACAACTTGGGACCACCTCCTATTGAAATCTTTACAGACCTTCTTTCAGCCTCAGACATTCATTCACTTGTATTCACTCTTCACTTGTATTTCCATCATCTCTTGAGTTATCTCTGTATTGTTATCACTACCATTCTTGTCTGTCTCTCAAACTTGAGTGAGAAGTCCCTGAGGACAGGAACTATAATTTTTTTAACTTTTTATTTATTTTTAAAATTCTAGTATAAGGGGCTATAATTTTTCATTCATCGATGAGGACCTAGTTGGGGACAGAGATATTAATACATATCGATATGGTCCTGCTCTTGAGACCTTATAATCTATTGTTAATGATGAATAAATGAAGAATGAATCAATAAACATATAAATACTGGCAGTACCACCAACACTAACAAAATAAACATAAGACCCTCAAATAAGAAACATGAAATTTCCTATCACTTTTACTGTAGTCACTGAAGAGAACACAGGATTTTTTTCCCCAGTGGTATAACCAAACTGCAGTTGTCTTGTGCATAGGAGAGTAATAAGTGAGCTACAGATTTTGTGAAGCTTCACAGTAAATGGAAAGACCACCGACTGGTGTTGGAGTTGGGAACTTCAATTCCAGTCTTGGAACTGATGTCTGTGGCCTCAGACAAGTCACTAATTACCTCTAAGCTAAAATGTCAGGACTATATGATCTTTATGTTCCCTTCATACTACTTTAGGAATTTAGGGATTTACTTGATTTATATTCCTTTCATATAACTTTAAAGTAAAAATGCAGATAAAAGAGAAAGAGTGGTACACTTATCACAATGAGCACTGAGTAATGTATACTATTGCTGAATCACTATATTGTACACCTGAAACTAATATAATACTGTATGTTAACTATACTGGAATTAAAATAAAAAACTTGGTTAAAAAAAAGAAAGAATGAGGTTTTTGATATTTGTTTTTTAAGCTTTCTTAATATATCTATTTAATTGGTATGGCAGACCATTTGCCCCTACCCAGTATCCATTCTTTTTCCTTACAGAGAGTCCCAATTTGTTGAGGCAGCAATATGCTCACCTAAAACACATTTCCCAGCTTCCCTTGAAATAGGAATCGTCAAATGACACAGTTCTGGCCAAAAATATGTAAACAAAAGTCACTGAGTGACTCGTCTGATTTTGGCCTTTTGCCTTATTCCCTTTGTTCTTCCCTTTCTTTCTGCCTGGAATAAGGACATGATGGCTTGACCTCCAGAGGCCATATTGGGAACATGAAATAAGAACTTAAGGATGAGAGAGAACACCCAGAAAGAGCTTGGGTCCTGTTGACATCATAGAGTCATTGCATCAACTCTGAACTATCTAGGATTCTTTGTTACATAAGGAAAGATAAGGCCCTGATCTTGCTTAAGCCACTGTTGTTGGCAGTATTTGATTACATACAGCTGAACTCAATTACTAACTGATACACAAAAAATAATACTCATCTCTGGTTTTTGGAACCTCAGAGCAAAATCCTTCAATTTCTCTGCACCACCCCCCAAGTACAACAGTTTCTCAGACTGGACTCCACAAATAAATTATTGGGAGGTCTATAATTCTATTCCAAAATGTTGATAACTGCTTTCATTTTGATTCTAGTAAAAATATGATTAACATAAGCATATTATGAATCATCTAAATAATCACCTTAGATCCGAATATTGCCTTCATATCTATACTCACATTATTGTCCATAATCACCTAAAGTGACATGACTCAACTTTCAATCTGCTGGGAAACCTGTTCATGCTGTTTCCTTTTTAGCAAATATAAATATAAAACTTGTCTTTTGCATTAATAATTTGCAAATGAAAGGCATCATGATTTGACATCATGAAAATGGAATGTGATACTGAAACAATACACTACTTTAAGTGTCACAGGGTAATGAGAAAATAAAAGCAGGTGAGATAAATATATATGCTCACAGAAAGAAAATAATATATGTTATGGCACAATATATGAATGAAAATGTTGTAACAGTTCAAATATGTAAAAATGTGGCAGAATCAAAACACAAAATTATATAAGCATGTGGAACTCAAAATAACTTATTGTTCAGGTAAAAGCTACTATACAGTAGTAAAACAGTACCTTTGCTGAAGGTCCCACAAGCCAGGAAAAAAAATTATAATAAAAAACAAAATAGATACAATTTTAAATTTTGTTAAAAGCTTTTGCACTTAATTCTATAATAATCACCAACCTTTAAGAATCAATAGGTAGTAATCATAAGTCACTTTTATTACATTCTGAAATTCACTAGCAATCTCATGAAGAGGCTCTTAAACTTCTCTTGAGTATCATAAAATGAAAATATTTTTCCAGTATC